TCTTTTTGCCTATATCCCTTAGCAACAAGCATGGCTTTATATCTATCAATTGAACCATCATGCTTCATCTTCCTCTTGAAAATCCACTTATTACTAAAGGTTTAGCACCAAGAGGAAGATCCACCAGCTCCCAAGTATGATTTTACATCATGGATTCAATTTCACTATTTATGGTTTTTTTCCATAAAGGAGCTTCAAGAGAAGACATAGCTTCCTTATAGCTTTGTGGCTCATTCTCCAATATATATGTCAGAAAATCAGGATCAAATGACTTAGACGTTCTAGCTTTTTTACTACGTCTAGGTTCTTCGTTATTTTCATCATCTATAGACTCTTGGTCTATATTCTCTTGTATATTGCTATTAACAATATCATAATTTCTTTTAAGAGGATTTTTACAAGGAAATATATCCTCAAAGAAGCGTGTATTCCTTGACTCAATAATTGAATTGACATAGATGTCAAGAATGTCTGATTTATACACAAGGAAATGATATGCACTATTATTCTGTGCATAGCCTATGAAAATACCATCAAATGTTTTTGGTCCTATCTTAATTTTCTTAGGAGTAGGAACCGCAACCTTAGCTAAACTCCCCCACACTATTAAGAATTTATAGGAAGGTTTTTAACCTTTCCATAATTCATAAGGTGTCACATTTATTTCCTTTTGAGGTATTTTATTGAGAACATAATTAGCAGAAAGCAAAGCTTCTCCCCATAAATTCTGGGTTAAACCAGAACTTATTAACGTAGCATTCATCATTTCTTTTAAGGTTCGATTTTTGCGTTCAACAACACCATTCTGTTGAGGTGAATAAGGAGCGGTAGTTTGGTGAATAATACTATGTTCTGAGCAAATGTCAGCGAATGGTGCTTCATATTCACCACCTCTATCACTTCTAAACACCTTTATCTTTTTGCCAAGTTGATTCTCAACCTCATTCTTGTAATGTTTAAACATTTTCAAAGCTTCATCTTTACTTCTTAACAAGTATACATAACAGTATTTTGTGCAATCATCAATAAAAGTAATGAAATATTTTTTTCCATCTCTGGTTGGCATAGATTTAAAGTCACAAATATCACTGTGAATTAATGCTAGAGGTTCAGTACTTCGCTTTATAGAGTGAAATGAGGTTCTAGTCAAGTTTGCTTCTACACATGTTTGACATTTTTTATTTAAATCAATACTAAATTTAGGTATAGAATCCATGTTAATTAATTTACGAATCGTATCATAATTAACATGTCCTAACCTACCATGCCACATATCAGATGACTCAATCATATAAGCAGAAACATTCGCTTTATTATTATTAATAGATTTGGGTACAACAATGATTACATTGAATTTGAATAATCCATCACTAAGGTACCCTTTACCCACATACTCCACATTCTTAGTAAGCACAAATTTATTAGATACAAAGACCAACTAGGACCCATTCTTGCTTAAAAGTGATCCAGAGACCAAGTTCTTCCTGATGTCTGGTAAATACAACACATTATTCAGAGTCATCTCTTTCCCTGAGGTAATCAGCAGCTTTATTTTTCCTTGTCTTTCAACCTTTGCAGTAGAATGGTTCCCCATATAGAGTTGTTCTCCATGATCTATAGCTTCATAGCTAGTGAAAATCTTCTTTTCTGAGCTAACATGACAAGTAGCCCCTGTGTTCACCCACCATTCTCAATTGTTGCTCACAAGGTTGATTTCAGAAACCACAGCTGAAAGATTTAGCTTTGACACATCAACTGTTAACTTATCTTCCTCAGCAATGTGCACCTTAGTGGTCTTCTTCTTGGGGTTATGCTGTGCTTTACAGGTACGATAGTCTTTAGCTCGGTGTCCTAGCTTGCCGCATATGAAGTACTTCCCAGTGAACCTTTTGTAGTTTCCTTGGTTGGGACTTTCTCCAGAGTGCTTCCTCTTCTTATTTTTCTGTCCAGCTTCTACTACATGTGCCTTTGACACCATTGAAGAATTTTTGGCTTTCTTTTCAGATGTATGGTACGTTATCTTCTTCAATTCTTAGCCTGACAATCAGGTCTTCGAGCCCTATTTCCTTGCGCTTATGCTTTAAGTAATTTTTGAAATCTTTCCAAGTAGGTGGCAGCTTCTTAGTAATTGAAGCTACTTGAAAAGATTCACTCAAATTCATCTTCTCAGCATGTATCTCATGTAGGATCAGCTCATTTTGAAGTCCAGAAATCGTCCGACCACTAACTTTTTCAAACCAGCATCCTCTGTTTTATACTTCTTGTCTAATGACTCCCAAAGCTCTTTAACAGTATTTATTGGACTGTATACATTATATAAAGTGTTGTCCAATCCATTGAGAATGTAGTTCTTGCATAGGAAGTCTTCATGCTTCCATACATCAACAGCTCCTAACTTTGTAATGTCAGTCTCACCCTCTTCTAGTACTGGGGTAGTCTCAGTTAGGTACTTGCTTAGATTCAAAGTTGTAAGGTAGAATATCATTTTCTATTGCCACCTTTAAAACTTAGCCCCATTAAAATTTTTGGGTTTCTCCTCATGACTGACGGGAACATTAAGCATAGTAGTTTTGTACTTGCCATTCGTCTGATTATATTAAATATATAGACCACGAGTCAAATTACAGTAATTATAACAACAACAATAATAATTAAATAATTAATACTATAGTAAAGCGGAATCTGTCTTAAGATTGTTGTCCAAAATATGGTCTAAGTATAATATATATTATAGTATTATTTATTTAAATATTATCTAAAAATATAATGTGTATATATATAATCATTATTATAAAATAATCATCTATAAATATATAATTTCTTATAATATATATAGTTTAATATAATCAAATAAAACTATAAAATAAATGAACCAGATTAAAAGTCGAGGTTAGAATTTAATTTTATGTCCTTAAGATAGATTTGCCCTGCTATGGTACTAACGGATTTAATGGCGTCTATCTCCTAGTATATAACGACTTATCTTCCTTCGGTAGTAACACTGCAAACCAAAGGAATAGGCGAACCGGCTTGGTGTAGTACTCTTTGACTCGAATTCGGACTCGGACTCATAGATAAAACTCGAACCCACAGACTAAGGCTTGAACCCACAAACTAAGGCTCGAATCCACAAGAAGAGAGAAGGAAAAAGAGAATTCAGAAATAAGAAGAAGTATTCTGAATTGGTGTGTTAGCAAATGACCCCAAAGGGGGGTATTTATAGGAAGCAAAGTGCATTTTCGGGTATGGGTGCAACCATGGGTCATGTTGGTTCAACACCAGTTGCAACTCTTTAGAAACTAATGCAACTTTTTGGAAAACAGATACAACCCTTTGGAAATAGATGCAACCCTTTTGAAAAAAAACTAACTTTTAATTTAAATTCAAAAACCAACCACCCATTTAAATAAGCCCAGCCCAAAAATAAAGGCGCAATCTAAAAAGAATAATCGGACTTTACAATTAGGCCCAAGCCCAAGCTCAAATCCCAAATTTGGCTTATTTAAATTTCAATTGGTTTCAACATTTTTTCCATGTAGGACAAACACTTCCCACATTTTGCATACCCATTTAGGCTTATCAAAACACCACACTTTGGAGCTAATTTCTATTCACCCGGAACGGATTTGAGAAAGTAAACATACCACGTTCATCTCCTTGCGGAGAGAAACGCGCTCGTGTAGAAATCCGTAAAAAATTCTTAGTGGAATCTATTCCAAATCTCATCCAAAGTTTATGTTTTTAATGCCCCCGTTTTCAACATTATCTATTTTCTCCTCCGATCCATGATTATTGCTTCAAGTTTACCTTATATCTCTGTTGTTCAGTTGGTAGCTCTTCAAGATTTTCTAACTAGCTTTATGCTTGCTTTTCTAATCAATATGATGATGTGGTTAATTTATATATATATATATATATATATATATATATATATATATATATCCCTCTTTGTTATCTTTTAAGGAAACATCTCACACTAATGAGACTACAAGGCAAGCTAGGAATTGATTGATCATAATGAGGAAAAGAGATAACATATGGTCCAAATAATTTGGCTAAAGGCATTGTTGAGTTGATTATAGTTTTCACCGGGACCAAAATATGAAGAGAGTCAATAATAGCTTGTTACATTGTTGAGAAAAATATGAATGCTGATTTTCCACCTATTTTTCATTGTGGTTTATAATGGAAACATTTTGAGACCATAATTAAGTAGGTAGCAGAAAAGCTTATTTTTAATACTTTATTGCTAATTGTTACAGCCTAGTTTAGTGATTATTTTGTTTATATTGTTACTTTATCCGTGTTACAATGTGTACATCATTTTTATATTATGTAGTTTATACCTATTATGTCTCAGTGTTTTGAATATTTACTCTCCTTTTCCTAGTAAAGCATTGTTTTGACATTATTTTGATAATTATTCACATTTGCTTTCTTCCCTCAACTTCATTCAATTTTTTTTTGTATTTGTTGTTTTCCTTGCCTTTCTGAGATATTTCTGTTACCAGTCTGACAAATAAATAATCTGAAATAGGAGTAAAATTTTGATCAATTATACTTTTAGTCATGGAGAAAAAAAAAATCCTAATCTAACACTCTTTGGATACATATTGGTTCTACAAGTTTCTTGTGTCCCAAATCATTAAGCTTAAAAATTTTCTTGTCATTGCCAGCATTTCATATACTACAGTTGATCCCCATCTGATAGCCAAAGCTATCTTTCTTAAAAAAAATAATTCAAAAATTGTTCCATTGCTAAATTATCCCAAATCCTAAAAAGAAACAAATTTTCAATTAACCTGTTAGGTCAAATGCAAAAAATAAAAGACAAGAAATGATAATGATAGAGAATGACAGAGAGTAGAGAAATAGATATAGTGAAGTTTTTGATCTTCAGATTTGAACTAATCACTCCATCAAGCATTAGTATGTATAAAGCTATTTATTAGCATTAGTACACTGGACTTATTTATATAAGCAAACAATAACTAATTATACTAATGAGCCCAGAGCTTGTAGAAAGCATCAGAAACAAAATAATAGCTAGAATAGATACGCTCCTCAATGAAATTGAACCACCTCCTTCGCCAATATGGATTGATAGCTAGAACAGAAGCCAGTGCCAATAAGACGATAATGTACGACATAGAAAAAGTAGCATAAAAAGCCTCTGCATCGATTTCATACCATTTTTCCTCATTTTCTTGTGAAAATGTTGTTGGTGACTTTGGAGACTGAACAATGGTGGTACAATTGTTCTTTAGTTGTGGTCCACAAAGATAAGGATTTCCCTCAAAGCTGCTATCATCAAATGTCCCAAATTGTGCTTTCATGTCAGGAATTTTACCCGATAAGTTGTTGTGAGCTACAGAGAAGACTGCTAGAAAATTGAGATCAATCAGCTCCATAGGGATCACTCCACTCAACTTATTGTAAGAAAGGTCCAAGCTCTCTATTTGAGTCAAGCTAGAGAATGTTCTGGGAATAGATCCATTTAACTGATTATGAGATAAGTTTAATGCATGAATCTGAACTAGCTCACCTACCTCATGTGGGATTTCACCTGTTAGGTTGTTGCATGACAAATCCAATCCTGACATGAATTTGAGGAAATTACCCTTGTAAGAGCTAGGCCTTCTTTTTGTAACAAACTCGGCTTCTGCTTTCTTATCTACTTCAAATGTTGCCACATAATAACTGATATCAAAAAACACATCGTCATTTGGCCCTATCTTTCCAAAAGAGATATTACTGATGCAACGAGGAATTGACCCAGAAAAAGAGTTGTTGGAAAGATCCATAAGGGTTATCTTATTCAACTTACACAATTGATTTGGAATTAAACCATTCAAATGGTTTCCCCTTAGCAGAAGTACTCTTAAGTCGAAGAGTGCGCTAATCCCATCGGGGATCTTGCCGGATAAGCTGTTATCTCTAACATCCAATATCCACAAAGATGATGAATTGACAAAAGCATTTGGTATTGGTCCCGTGAATTTGTTTGCCTGCAAATAAATATACCTCAGTTGATTTGATGAACAAGACGGTAATGGTCCTGATAGAGAGTTATGAGAGACATCCAAGAGCTTGTATATAGGTAGTTCACATGGTAACCGGCCTTTGAATGAATTATTTCTCATGATGACGACATGCAAATTTGTCATATTACTTATCCAGCTAGAAATCACACCTGAGAAGTAATTGTTGCTAACGTCCAACGCAACCAGCCCAGAGCTTCCGGAAATTGTGTTGGACAAAATTCCCGAGAACTGGTTGTCATCCAAAGACAGAGTCACTAAGTTGGTCAAGTTGAAGTGTGTTGAAAGTATTTGACCATGAAATTTATTGCTGGATAATTTCAAAGTATTCAAATTGATGCAACCTGAAACCAATTCCTTTGGTACTTCTCCAGAGAACATGTTAACAGACAAATCCAGCATCTCTAAGGCACTCATGTTGCAAAGTGATGACGGAAGTATACCTTTGAAAGAATTTGTGGATAAATTTAGATACGAAATGTATGGAAGACTCATTGAAATGTTTGCTTGAAGTTGGCCATGAAAGTAATTGGCAGAGACATCCATCCAATTAATACTCGTGTTGAGGGGTGGTGACAGATCAAATTGACCCGTGAAAGAGTTGTTGCTCAGATTCAGAACTTCAAGTCTTGAATTGTTATTAAGAAACCAGTAAGGGAAAACTCCTTTCAAGTTGTTGTGGGAGAGATCTACTTCTCTTAATGTGTATTGGTGAAAGAGAAACTTGGGTATTTCACCGGTGAGGTTGCAGTTTGATAACCCTAGGACTTTCAACTGAAACTTGGGAGCCCAATTTGAGTAATCATCTGTTTCCACCTCCAATTTGTTGTCGCCTAATTCAACCACCTTAAGCTTAGAATGATTGGCTAACGAGGTGAATGAGAACTCAAAATGATTATTTTGAAGATTGATGTGTGTTAGAGATGTGAGGTTTGATATGATAATAGAAATGTCTCCTGTGAATTGATTCGCAGAGAGATCTAACACCCTAAGGGATCTTAAATTGCTCAAACATGGAGGAAGGATTCCTTCCAAGGTGTTTTCACTAAGATGCAACTCTTGAAGGTTCCTTAGTTCACACAAACCTGCAAAAGAAGAAAAAAGATGAGTTGGAGTTGATGGACTGTGGCTTTCACTCGCAGTGATTTGACAGATAAGGCGGGATCGGGAAAAGAAGATTTGTACGTCACTATAATAGCAAATAACAAATGCTATGTTTCAGTTTTACCTTGAATAGACGAAGTGTTGTTGAGATAATTAAAGTTCAGATCTAGAATTTCCAAGTTCTTGAATGAAATCAAATCTACCAAATGAACAATGTAGATAATTTAGTGATGTTTATAGTAGAATAAGCAAATATAAAAAATTATCCATTGTGACTTAAAAAATATATATTAACAGAAAAGATAAAAGAAAAAGAAGAAATCACAAGTATGTGACAAATAAACAGAAAAGACGTACGATACTATAATAGCAAAGAACAAATGCTATGTTTCAGTTTTACCTTCAAATGACAAAGTGTTGTTGAGATTGTTAAAGGCCAAATAGAGAGTCTTGAGAGAAATCAAGCTTCCTATATGTGGAGGAATATTTCCAGTGAAATAATTACAGCTCAGATCTAGAACCTCCAAGTTCTGGAATGAAAACAAATCTACCAAATGAACAATGTAGATAATTTCACCATTCAGTCCGTATAGAATGCATACATAACCCAAAACCTAATATATAAAATTTAATAGGAATAATATATATATATATATATATATATATATATATATATAAACTACATAAAAAGTGGGTATAGGATGTTAGATGCTCAATATAAATGATGTGAACAAAACATGCCTTGAACAGGAAGAGGTCTTTTCATTCCATTGTAACTGACATTCAAAGTTTTTAGTGATGTGAGTGAACTCAAAGGTTTTAGGATGCTATCATTGAAGCCATTAAAGGCAACATTTAAGATCTCCAATTTCAACAATCTTTCAAAACCTGCAAATTAAGAGAGAATAATCACTTAAAATGAAATAAAATAATAAATCTCCATGCTTCTGTATATTACTAGTACTAGTAATCACCCACTATAGCGATGTTTGGAAGCCTATGTGAAATAACAAAAAAAAAAACTGAAAACCTTAGAGATTATTTGAAATAGTGGAAGGCTTTGATTTATGATATAGAAGAAAAGAGGAAAAAAAATTACATAGCAAAGGATTAACATTGTACGAAAATTTAGATTACCTTCAATCTCAACATAGTCATCAAAATAATTAACAGATAAGTCTAGCATCAGAAGCTCTTCAAAAGGTTTAAACAAGGAGACATTTAGATGATAAATAGAAAAGTACTCCCATAACCCTAGATGATCGAGAGTGAGCTCCACCACTCTGCCTGTGGTGTGGTTGCAAGCAACTCTCTCCCATTCACAGCAATCACTTTCTCTCTCATCAACCCATGAAGGAAGAACCAAATCATGGCTTATCTCATCATCAGTACCGTTCCGAATGAAAGAGGCTTTGAGTTGAAGCAAGCCAATCCTCTCCTCTTCAACACAACCTTCCACTCCATGGTTTTCGTTTTCAACCAATAAAACTATGAAAACCCATAACAACAGCAACAACAACTTCCCAAGTACAGCCCAACCCATTAATATGTGTATAATGATCAATAGAACATCAATTAATCCAATTTTATACCCCAACACAACACAAGACCGTGAAAATTGACCATGGACGTAGACGCGTGAAAAAAGGTGCAAACACAGGAAGGAAAGGTCGGGAAATGAACGGAAAGCAATGACAAAAGTCTTTTCCTTCCGTGTAAATAATGGTTAATAGAAACAGTACTTCGGTCGGTGAACCCATATAACCAAGATTTAAGAAAAAATAATAATTTAACTAAATAAAATCTCCGAAGCTTTAAAAGTAGTTATAAAAAGTGTGAAGTATGCTAAATTGTATAGACCTCCCCTGCGATTTAATCTAATTACACATGACATTAAACTTATGTATTTTGTTGCACCATACCCTCTTTGGTTTGCTCCATTATGAAGCATACTTCCTTCGGTTCAAAATTTGGCCAATTAGAAAATTTAGTTACAATGATCAAAATATTCATTAATTACAAGTAAAAAAACGCGTTAGTACCCTTATATTGCCATAAAATTATAAATAAAAAAAAGTACAAATAAAAAATCTCTTATTTTCATGGACAAAAATACATCTCTCTCTTCATCTCTATGTCCACTATATTATACAACATATGTCAAAATATAATTTGAATTTATCCTTAATTCAACCTACCAAGAAATATGGATCAATAAGTCAAATTAAATTACTCAATAAATTAATACTCATTTTTTAAAGTGGGTAATTATGATAATAATTTTACTGGATTCCCAGATTTACAACTATCCATTGTAAAGAATTCAGTTCTTAGAGGTAATTTCACCAACCAAGAAGTATGGTCCATTTGGTCAAGTCAAATTACTCAATGATGTGGAAAATTACGACAATTTTTTGCCCTTTTTAAGCCGGATTCCCGAACATGCCACAAATTGGTGTGGGTGCCACAACACCACAATTGCAGTGGGGGTCATCTCGTGTTTCATGTGCCATCCAGAAGCAAATTTTTGTGGGGCCCATCTCGCTGTTTCACGTTTACGCCCACGAACAAATTGACGGAAGATGAGAAGAAGTCAAGGATGAACACGGAAGCAAAGAATACAATTGGGACAATTCCTTGACACAATTTCCTTCTGGGGTAAAAATAAAAAAAAAATTACTATCAAATTGATGCAAAAAATTTTCACTAAAATTAAACGTCTCTCCCAACTTAAAAAAGTTATCAAATTGCCCCCAAATTCATATGCTGCCGTCGGAGAAAGCTCGTCACTACTAGAGCTACAGCCGGCATAGGTGATGTTGTCGCTGCCGCCGGACCCTCACGCATAAAGGGCTGTTGCAAGCTGGCTGTTGAAATTTTGAGCCGCAATCACATGAACGCATTTCATGCATGCAGATATGTGGTCGACAATTATAATGCATTTTATGACTAATGACGATGCATTTTATAACAATTATCAAAGCCTTTCGTTTTCTCGAAAGAGTAAAACCCACTTTCACCAAAATGTGTTCTTTCACAAAATACAAGAAATTTTATTTTTTTGTGAAAGCATGTTTTTTTATTTAGTATTCTTATTTTACCCAACAAGTTCATTAATATTATTTTACCCAATAATTTCATTTTATATTTGAAAATAACAACAATTTTTTACTAAGTTTCAAAAAATTGGAGTCCACTAACAACTTTATCATTAATAAATTTTTAATTCTAAGTTGTTTTTCATCATATATAAATAATAGTAATTCAAAATGTCTAAATTAAGTGAAATTTTTATTATTTTTTTAATATATTTTATTACTAATTGTTTATTATTTTATAAAATAAGAGTAATTTAGGTATTCAAACTATAATATGATATTTTCTTACAATTTTGTTGAAGAAATTTTCATCCTAACCAAATACATACTAGAAAATTACTTTTCTTTTCATTCACTTTACTTTTCTTTTCATTTTTTATTTCTTTTCCTTTCTTACTAGTTCCATCTAACCAAATGAAGCCACAGTGAAAACGCACTTACAAAAATTAGTCATGATTCGAAAGTTGTTTTTGCGTCAAAAGTCTTTTTGCAGTGAAAACCCACTTAGGCATTATTGAATCTTGATGATTCCTGAGATTGCATAGCTTGTTTTTTTTATTTTTTATTTTATTTTATTCTATTCCCCAAAAGAACATAAAAATTCCATGGTTTTCAATTTCAAGACCTGATGATATTATTATAATTATTATTTAGATAATTATTTTTTAGTATTATAATAAGTGATATTTATAAATATTAAATTTAAAAACTAGAATAAGGATAGTAATTTTTATTAAAATGAAAGGATATAAATAAGTTTGAAATGTGACCGTTATATTAAATTTAATGCTCAATATAAGAGTGTTAAATCACGTGTTATACTTTTTACTTTTAATTTTCACACTAGTAAAAGGTAAGTGTGTTGCATACTTATACCGGAGTTTAATCTACTTTGTAACAAAATTATAAAATAATATTTCAATTAAATATTTTCGTGATAATAGTTCCAATATAATTAAAAAAAAAATGATAAAAATCTTATCAAAGTATAATTTTATACGAATTACTGAACAAATAACAAACACACTTATACATCTAATTAGACTCAATTTTGAAAGGTTTACAATAACTTAAAAAATAAATAAATAAAATAAATAAAAAATTCTAATTCTAAAAGTTACCTACCAAACAGGAATCCCTATTTTGTGAAACATAATTCAACAATGCTCAATATAAAAGTGTTAAATCACGTGTTATACTTTTAACTTTTAATTTTAACACTAGTAAAAGGTAAGTGTGTTCCATACTTATACCGGAGTTTAATCTACTTCGTAACAAAATTATAAAATAATATTTCAATTAAATATTTTCGTGATAATAGTTCCAATATAATTATAAAAAAAATGATAAAAATCTTATCAAAGTATAATTTTATACGAATTACTGAACAAATAACAAACACACTTATACATCTAATTAGACTCAATTTTGAAAGGTTTACAATAACTTAAAAAATAAATAAATAAAATAAATAAAAAATTCTAATTCTAAAAGTTACCTACCAAACAGGAATCCCTATTTTGTGAAACATAATTCAACAATGCTCAATATAAAAGTGTTAAATCACGTGTTATACTTTTAACTTTTAATTTTCACACTAGTAAAAGGTAAGTGTGTTGCATACTTATACCGGAGTTTAATCTACTTTGTAATAAAATTATAAAATAATATTTCAATTAAATATTTTCGTGATAATAGTTCCAATATAATTAAAAAATGATAAAAATCTTATCAAAGTATAATTTTATACGAATTACTGAACAAATAACAAACACACTTATACATCTAATTAGACTCAATTTTGATAGGTTTACAATAACTTAAAAAATAAATAAATAAAATAAATAAAAAATTCTAATTCTAAAAGTTACCTACCAAACAGGAATCCCTATTTTGTGAAACATAATTCGACAAAATATCACCTTCTTAATTCTCATAAATAATATAATCATTTCATATATTTATTTGCGTACAAGTGTTTTAAAAGCTCATAATAATCTTACAAAAATGTAATAGAAAAGTAACTTGCCTATGTTCCAGGTTTTAATTAGATATGCTTGGTCCTCCTTCCCTCTTCTTCCACTTTCAATTACCAAGTTCACTAAATCATTCATAAAATAAAATAAAACTAACAAGTTTACCCAAAAAAATAAAAATGCATTTATAACTGCTCCATTTGTTTGGATGTTAAATATTTTTTAAAAAAATATAATTTTATTTTTTGTGTTTGGTTATCATAAAATATTTACGAAAAAAAAAATATTAATGATGGATGTATAATTTAAATACTCGCGTATAGGAGAAGGTTGTTAAATTAACTCACTATCTCATAAGATTGAGATAGGCTCTACAGATTACGATAAGGATTAAGCCTATAGATTACGATAAGGATTAAGACGACGGTAAGTCTACGTTACATCCTGACCTAAGCCTTATAAAGAAAGGGGCTAATCGACGTTGTAAGGTATGCAATAGATCCTAACTCAATTTCTTGATTTCTCCAGAGAGATTACTTTGTACACTGACTTGTTTGTCGGAGCCTACTCCACCGGTAACACACCGGTGCCTGTAGGATCACCTTTTCTTCTCTTTGATCAGGAAGTCAGATCAGATCCAGGTGACGCAGAATCCATCATCAACAGTTGGCGTCGTCTGTTGGAAAAATATTTTAGTTCTCTAAACAAAACATGGTTCGATTGCGATCTGGTCTGCGGCTTGAGAGGACGAAGCGTTGCAGGCTTCTAATCAAGGGGACTCGACGAGGCAACCCTTCGTCATCCCAACCCTTCGTCATCCCAAACGATTAGGAAAGCATCGCAACATTGGAATAATATGTTTTAACCTTAAATGAGGGAATGAACTAGTTAGTCCAGCAAAATGCAATGATTCTGCAACGCTTAGCCGCCCCCAACGAGGAGGGGAACAGTGAAGTACCTAACAATAACTCCCGTAGGGCTGACAACAACGCTGAGCTTAGTCAAATAGGGGGTCAACAGAGGAGCCATCACCATCGGTCTCCTGAACGGAATACCTCCAGGCTCTGTGGAGATACCTTTGGTTGTATTGGCGACAAGACTGAGGACGTCACTCATTTCGATCTATAGATGCAAGATCTGAGAGCTAAGGTCAAAGACGTCATGCAAGCAATGAAAGGGAAGGGCCAGGCCGCAGTGAACGATCTGGTACAGAAGACCAACCTAGCATTTAGCCCAGCTATTATGAGTTGTCCTCTACTTAGCAAATTTAAGATGCCAACTCTTGAGAGCTTCGATGGGACGCGGGACCCTCTCGATCATTTGGAAAGCTACAAAGCTCTTATGTATTTGCAAGCCATACCGGACGAGATTATGTGCAGGGCTTTCCCTACCACACTAAAGGGTTGGGCTCATCTGTGGTTTAATAAATTAAAGGTAGGCTCTATTAAAAACTTTAATGAGTTGAGCAA